CCCCCCTTCACGCCCCTCCCCTTCATTTGCATGCCCACCCCACACTGGACCACACCACCCCTTCATTTGCATACCCAGCCCTCATTGGCGCAACCAGCATGTTCCTTTACCTGCCCGTTTACACCGGCAACGCCCCGCCCCCACCATTTGCATACCCACCCCTCATTGCAGCACGCTCTACCTCTCATTTGCATACAGCCCCCTCATTGGACTCCCACCCTCCCCTTCATTTACATAAGCCCCCATTTGACAACCCCCCCTCTCATTTGCATGGGGACCCCTCATTGAGACAACCCTCCCCTCTTCATTTGCATGCAGGCCCCTCATTGGATCCTTGCTCTCATTTGAATAGCCCGCCCCTTCATTTGCATGTCCAATTGACAGTGCCCCCTCTTCATTTGCATGAAGGGCCCTCATTGGCTCCCCATTCTCATTTGCATAGTTTCCTTCATTTGCATGCCCCGCCCCCCTCATTTGCATGCAGCCACTCACCGATGATGATGATGAGGACGATGACACATATGACCCCCAGGATGATCATCATCTACGGGGGGGACAGGGGTCACCGGGGGGGGACACCAAAAAAATGGGGGGTTTGGGGCTCTTTGGGAGGGATTTTAGGCCAAATCCTGGGGATTTGGGGGCTTCCCATGGCAGCAATTTTAGGTATTTTGCGGTGGAGGAGGGTCCCCAATTTGGCCCCATTTGGGGCATTTCCATTTATGGAAATATGTAGAGTTGGGGGGAGGGGTCTGGGGTGGATTTTGAGGCGGCAATGATGATTTTGGGGGGAAAACAAGCAAAAACAGCAAGAAAAAAAAGGGGATTTGGGGGCACCAAAGTCAACTTTGGAAARTGGATTTTGGGGGGTGTGGGTGGAATTTTGAGGCCATTTAGGTGRATTTTGGGGTCACCAAGGCCAATCTAGATGTTTCTTGGCAAAACTGGCTGCTTCCAGGGTTTTTGGGGGGGCTGTGGAAGGAGAATTTTGGGGTCCCCAATTTCCAATTTGAGGTTTCTGGGCAGAATTGAGGGCTTCCAGGGTGGATTTTCGGTGGTGTAGGTGGAACTTTGGGGCCATTTATGTGGATTTTGGGGCCTCCAATATCAAGTTTGAGGTTTCTGGGCCAGATTTGCTGCTTCCAGGTTGTTTTTGGGCTGCAGACGGAGGATTTTGGGGTGACCACTGTCAATTTGGACGTTTCTGCATGAATTTGGGGGCTCCATGGTGGATTCTGGGGTGTTAAAGTGGAATTTTGGGGTCACCAAGGCCAATCTTGATGTTCCTGGGCTGAATTAGCGAGTTCCAGGTTGTTTTGGGGCTGCAGAAGGAGAATTTTGGGGACCCCAATATCAATTTGGGGGTTTCTGGGCTGAATTTGGGGACTCCAGGGTGGGCTACGGGGGGGGGTAAAGTGGAATTTTGGGGCCAGTCCGGTGGATTTTAGGGCCACCAAGGCCAATCTTGACATTTCTTGGCTAAATCTCCTTCTTCCAGGGCGTTTTTGGGCTGCATTGGGGGGAATTTGGGGGGCCCCATTTTGAGCGTTCCGGGCCGCGTTTGGGGCCGTTTTTTGGGGCGATTTGGGGGCTTTTGGGGGTACCTTGAGGTTCTTCCACCAGTACTTGCGCTTGAGCTTGGCGGCGCTGGTCTCGAACTGGGAGGCGCCGGCCTGGAGCGCGTCCGCCCGGTCGTCCAGCTCCGAGAGCTTCTGGTCCCGCTCCAGCACCTTGTCCACGTTCACCCGCATGATGTCGACCACCTGCGGGCCCCGGCGTCCGGGCAGGGGGTCACGAGGGGCCCCGGCGTCCGGGGGGGGGCGG